AGGCAACATGCGAATACGCACCTAAAGGTGGGCATGAGTACCTAGACCTAACAGGGTACACCTCAACCTATTATAACCAGCTACGCATCCACTGCATATACGCACCCTAACCAATGAGTCTGAGACTCAAGCTCAACTCGTGGTACCATAAACATATATATAAAGTCCGTCCAAATCCAGGGTAAGCAGTTCAACTATTTATTAAACTGACCTACAATAAACCAACTAGTTAGTCACTCCACTTATTCAGTTGATATGATTTAACTACCATCCGTTAATCCAGGAAGTCATCCAACTTGGTTACAGCTGATCTGACTTAGCCACAATTAGGATTCGATATCTTTCAATCCATTCCATTAATCCATTAGGTTAGGTTTATGCGTTTTGAGCTAAGCCGTCCATAGTATGTCACCGTCCCATACCGATACATACCATCCTCCATATCCATGTAAATTACAACATATATAACAGTTCAATAATTTACAGACCAAAAACTACCATCCAAACAATTGCAGAAAACTATTTAAAGCTTCAGTAATTTAAATCCAAGCATTTAACCATATAGTTGCAGGAGACGATTTTAACAAATCAACAACTAACATCCAGAGCATGCATAGACCAAATTTAATATGTCAGGGACTCCATCATGCATGTGAATACGTTAAATAATCATATTATTAACCAATAAATTGCTAAAACAATTCAGAAAATTGTTTAAATATTTCAGCAGTTTAAATCCAAGCATTAGCCATATAGTTGCAGTAAACAATTTAATAATTCCGCAACTAGCCTCCTAAGCATGCATAGATCAAAATTAATAATTAAATGACCCTATCATGCACTTGAATGCATTCTAAAACAAGTTTATAAACACATTATGTTCCATCAAATTGCTGAATTTTAATTCAACAATTAATTCAATTCCATTTGTTAAGTGCCTTAATTTTTACACTGTTTGTCCCGACAACTTAGAATTAAACTTTACTCAATTTAGGGTCTTACTAACACTCAAAATTCATTCCTTGATCCCTCTGTAAAGTTCCAAATTCATTCAAACAGTCTCCATGCTCCAACAGTGAACATAGTATGCAGAAAATTAAAAAAAAAAAAAAAAAAAAAAAAAAAAAAAAAAAAAAAAACGTAAAATAAATCAAAAATACCAAGGGAGCCTGCTCCAGAATTTGGAGCAGGCTCTTTTCCAGCCTAGAGCAGGCTCTAGGACTCCCTAAAGCCGGCTCCACTTTGTTGTGGGAGCCGGCTCCCACTTCCATGGAGCCGGCTCTCACTTCCTCTGAGAGCCTTCGTCCCCGGTGCGTCGTTTCAGCTCTTGTGCTCCTTCTCCGGCTTATTCCTAACCCTCTGTTAGTCTCTAAACTAATCTTAGGACTCATAATTTAGTCTAGAAGCATTCCCCAAGATTGTTTACAATAGTTTTGAAAGCAATTACAGAGTTTAATCAGGCCATTTAAACTAGCGTTGTTGAAGAACGGCACTGAAACTAAATTGCAAGATCAGTTTTATCCCAACCCCTCTGTTCTTTCTCCAATTTAAATTTGAAGTCTTAATTTACGTCTAGTATCCAGTCAGACCTTGGCTGATTTCAGTAAGATTCAAAATAAAAATTAAAACAGTGGGACGTTATGCCAAAACAGAGTCAAGAAAACATACGCGCTATAATTATTTTGTAAATAAATTTTGCACAGATAAAACGATCAAGCAAATCATATATCAAACATGCATGGTTCAGTTTAAGGCCAATTAATCTCCTAGAGACTGTCTAGGTGCACAGAACACAAGCCAAAGGGAAGGAGAAAGAGAAGAACTTGCCTGTACAGTTTTATAAACAGAACCTTGACGCCGTTGTTCTAAGCTTTCCGGCAACCACTGACTACCTTCTAGCCTCCTCTGGTTCTGATCTAATCCACCAAACACCTCCCTTGGTCCTCTCTGTTATTCTCCTTGACAGACCGTTACGACGCTCTGTTCTCTCAACTTCTCTCTTTACTGTATACGGGAATATGGTGAATAGGGTTTTAGAAACCCTCAGCAGACGTATACCCATATATTTATAGAGTTATACCAAAACCCTAAATTAATTAGAGCCCTAACTAAATCCTAACCGGCCCATAGAACTTAATTAAATCCTGTGTCGGCTAAAGAAACTAAACCCTCAATTATGAAAATAAAATAGTTAATTAAAATACTTCCTAAATTAAAACCTTTAATAATCAATTAAATAAAATAAAATGCAATAAAATGCAATTTAAACAAATAAATAGATACCAATTAAATACACGTCACACAGGTAAACAATTAAATAAAATAATTAAACCAAATAATCATGCAAAAATACAACAAAAATAATAAATAAATGCCGAGACTATCCTTTTAAATTAGGGGTATTACATTTGGGGCCCAGATAACTCAACCACGCTAGGGCGGTCTCCCTAATTCCCTATAGGACACATTAACACCACGGACCCTAGGCAACTCCTAGGCAATCGGGTTTTCGCAAACCGTTTTATCAAAACTTTTTCCCAAAAATCCCTTTTTCTTTCATTTCAAATCAATTTTCCTTTTTCTTGCCCAATGTCATGCATGAATGCATCATGCTTTTCCAGTGGTATGTCAAGTGTGGAATTCATGCTTCACAAGTTAAATATTCACCACATAACATGCTTTGTAAGGAATTTGTAAAACTACTAATCATGCTTCCACATTATTAAATTTAACCATATAGACAATTAGGCATGAAGTATCATTATTTAAGCATGATTTCTCATATATGCATTAACTAACGCATAGCCAAATAATTTATACACAACGATTAGGCAATCATACAAGCAATCCATTCAAGTAAAGCATGCTACATGGCAATTTATAGAGAATAACTCACAAAAATCAAAAAAGTTATGTATTAGGAACCCCTACCTCCACTTAGATGCAAAAACTCCCAATTTCCCCAAATCCAAGCCCTAAATCAAAATTCTAAGGTTGACCAAAAGTGTAATTTGCTCCTATCAAAGTGAAAATCACAACGAGCTATTCAATTTGCCGCAAACGGCACCAACAAATTCTCAAAAATGAGAGAAAAATTAAGATATGAAATTTGCTTGAAAAGAAAAAGAAAAAAGAAGAAAAGAGGGAAGAGAGAGCTTTACAAGTTTTACGGGGAGAGAGAAAAATGAGGCTAAATATGGCATCTTGGCCACAAAAGTGTTAGTGGTGGGTCCCTCCATTAACACCAAAAAATCCCACCTTTATACAATATATATACCAAAAAATCCCACCTTTATACAATATATATATATATATATATATATATATATAACATAAATATTACATTAAGTACTTAATTTTCTTTTTTCAAAAATTATATTTACTGAAATAATTGATAAAAGAGAGGAAGAGAGAGCTTTACGGGCACAGAGAAAAATGAGTCCAAATATGGCATCTTGGCCACAAAAGTGTTAGTGGTGGGTCACTCTACTAACACCAAAAAATCCCACCTTTATATAATATATATATATATATATATATATATATATATATAAATTAAGTACTTAATGTAATGTTTATGTTTTATTAATATATATATATATATATATATATATATATATATATATATATATAAAACATAAACATTACATTAAGTACTTAATTTTTTTTTCCCAAAAATTAGATTTACTGAAATAATTGATAAAGAAAATTTAATTTATAATAGTGCTTATTTCTTTACATTTCTTTTCCATAATTTTCTTTCTAACATCTTTTTTTTTTTTTTTCTCTCTCATTTTTTAATCTTCTCAAAATATATATACTACGACTAGTATTTAAGAAAAAATATATTACAATTAATTTATAATTTTTGTTACATAATTCAAAATCGACCCCAACTTTTTATTTCTTGCTCCGCTCAATAGGACTCCCCATTTGACAAGAAAAAGAAAGAAACTATGTAGAGCTGAATTGAACTTATTAAATTTGGATGTAGCAATAACAGTAGTGTTGGAAGTTCAACTATTGAATGGAGCAACAATCTCGTGATTTTCACGTGTTGGACCATCAAATAATTTATGTGTCGGGTTGGGAGGCGGGGGTTAGACTGGCTAGTGGACTGAACCTTATCCCCACTTCCCTTTTCAAATGACATGCATCTTTCATTTAATGCCGCATAATATTGGTTGTCCAGACGGTTGATTAATGGCATTTGTAATTTCAAATTGGTACCACCACAATTTTAAGATGAGTGATGAACTGAGATGAATTAAGATGTCATATTCAGTAACCTCTACCTGAACTACCATAGTAATTTCATGATGGAATTTGTATGATAGTTCAAAAATTGGAGTGGTCCAATAATCTTCCACTACTCCTTTCGCCGCCTCCACATGCCTCCAATGGCCTCAGCAACTGCAAGTATCAATCAAATCGAGACCGTGTTTAAACTTGAGTGTAGGAATGACCCAAAGTTGGGATTATTTCACACAAGCATCTAATCAACATTTTGTTTCTAGGATAAGATCAGCATTTTATTCCCTCTCAAATACGAAGTGCATATTTGATATTTTGAAAGTTTCATTAAACCCATGAAACAACTAAAAGACAAAAGCTTATCTAAAAAATAACTAACCAATTAAACATTACTAAAAACAACTTTCAAAGCCCAAAAAGTCAAACTCAGCATTTGGAAAGAATCCAAACAACACTAAATAGAAAATCACTTGGGAAAATATGTTGTATAATTTATGTAAATAAAGCATATAACCGATATCTAATTTTTGGCAACTAAGTCATAAAAATCAACCAAAATGTGCTAGCAAATAAATTGCAGAGGCATCATTTTATCTAAAATAATAAAATCTTACTCACATCAGGATATATGCTTCAAGATTGGCTGGTAATATTGTGTGTCAGTAGAAAATGCCATGACGTATCTGATGCTGTTATTTAAATGCATGCTAATCAGTAATCAGTCTATTCTATTCCCTTCCATTTAACTTGTGATTCTACTTCTGCCAAACACTGTTATAAATACACCATGTTTTAGAGCAAATGGTACCTGAGTAGAGCAAATTAGATAAGGATTTTTTTTTTTTTTTTTTTTTTTTTCCCCCTCATATCTTAGGTTGAATTCTATACCGAAAGGAAATATGCCGATTGCCCCCCCTCCCGGCGAGTCTGACACTGCTGCTGATGGAAAACCTGCCGAAAAACCTGTCGAAAAACCCAACTCTTGCATAATCCTAAGTCGACCCGGTGGTTCAATGTTCATGCTTCACCCAGACCTTTTCAAGCGAGGTGAAAGGTATTGAATTCAATCACAAGGCACGTCCTTTTCAATGCTTTTATGTTTGATCAAATTATTAATATTTATTTTTAATCCTTACATAGGCGATAAAGTGGAAAATTAGCAGCGAAGCACTGACTGGTAAAGCAGGGACGTGACAGTGCTGCAGAAGTAGCTATATATATATATATATATTCAATGTTCATGCTTCACCCAGACCTTTTCAAGCGAGGTGAAAGGTATTGAATTCAATCACAAGGCACGTCCTTTTCAATGCTTTTATGTTTGATCAAATTATTAATATTTATTTTTAATCCTTACATAGGCGATAAAGTGGAAAATTAGCAGCGAAGCACTGACTGGTAAAGCAGGGACGTGACAGTGCTGCAGAAGTAGCTATATATATATATATATATTCAATGTTCATGCTTCACCCAGACCTTTTCAAGCGACGTGAAAGGTATTGAATTCAATCACTAGGCACGTCCTTTTCAGTGCTTTTATGTTTGATCAAATTATTAATATTTATTTTTAATCCTTACATAGGCGATAAAGTGGAAAATTAGCAGCGAAGCACTGACTGGTAAAGCAGGGACGTGACAGTGCTGCAGAAGTAGCTATATATATATATATATATGAAGATGTTGATCATGAATGCGACCGTGTATAATACAATAATTTAATGGATGACATTCTCGATCTTACCTCCCAAGTCTGTTGTTCATCGTTCTCCTTTCCTGGCAACATCAACTCTAGGGGCGGACACGGGGAGGCAAAGGTGGGCTGTAGCCCACCCCAAAAAAAAATAATAAATAAAAAATAAAAAATAAATAAAATTTTACTATACTAAAATATTTGTCCAGCCAAAAAACACCAAAAACCTAATGAAGGCTAAGTAAACTCAATCACCATACTAAAATAAAGGTCCAAATTAATTCCTTAGTATTCATGTTTAATGTTAGCCCACCTCAACTAGAAATTCTGTATCCGCCCTAATCTCTAGCTCTACTAAACAACCATTGCAATGGGGCAATTGGATTCCGTGGGGAATCCAAATGTGTCCTTAACATCATCTTTAAGCTAAATGACATGGGATCCATGCAATCAAACATCATCCAAAATGAAAATATTCATATTATTAACTACAATCATTTCACGAATAATATACAATTTTCTCACTATCTTTAGCACAACGGAGGAAAGTGATCAGACTCTAAACAATTTTTTCAAAAAAGGAAAAGAAGACGGCGACAAGAAGCAAGAGAAACGCACATTGTTCTCATAAATAATAATATATTTTCGTGATATGTACAACGGTAAGTTGATTGAAACAACAAAAATATGGCTCTTGAGCTATTGAGTCAACTGATGTGGATGTTTAGAATGGGCTGACTCTTCGAGCCAACTTCAACACGATTTCAGGTACAAGGCGTTTTCTTGGTGCTGCCACGGCATCTTTGGCAGCACCCAGATGCAGAACCGGAAAACTCAAGCATTTCAAACAATTCCCAAATTTTTGCAATCGCATAATTCATTCAAGCGATACAACACACACAAACCTACTCCTCTGTAAACCCAAGAGAGTAGGCTAAAAGACACTTTCTGAAAAGATTCTCAAAACCATGAGACTAAGCCCTCGTTTGGCATAGTTTTTGTTTCTACTTTTATAACAACCACCACCTCCGCTTTATTTAATGCCATAGCCTGAGTCGATCCACATACCATCGGTTGTCACCCCCCTTATTTATCCAGGCTTAAGACCGCATGTGTAAAGAATACAAGCAGAGTTTTTGTTTTTACTTTTATGAGAAGAAGAAAAATAATAATAATAATAATAGAAGTTTTCACTTCTATTTGACTTATATGTATTTGGCAACTCTATTTTTGAAGAGCTTCTCATTTGGGATTCATAAAAAGGGCGTGAAATCAACCTTCTGTTTTTAGGACACTGTTGGCAAATTTTTTTTTTTTTTTTCACTCAAATATGAACAGCACAATTAGTAGTTAGTATTTTGAAAGTTTCTTTAAACCATGAGATGACTTCAAGTGTTTCTAAAAAACAGAGTGTTCGTGCAAAAGCTGGGGAACCAAAGCTCTTTAAAAAAATAATAATAAAATAAAGAATAAAATAAAATAAAAACCTATCTATACACTACTCAAAACAACTTTGAGGTACAAAAAAACCAAAAGCAACATTTGAAAAGTCAATCTAACGCCACAGGGCAATCCAAATAAAAGGGAATCACTAGGGAAAATATGTTTTATAATTTATGTAAATAAAACATATAATTTTTGACAACTCTATTTTTGAAGAGCTTCTCATTTTGGGATCCATAAAAGAGCGTGAAATCAACCGTCTGTTTTTAGGACACTGTTGGCGTTTTTTTTTTTTTTTTTTTTTTTTTTCACTCAAATACGAACAGCACAATTAGTAGTTAGTATTTTGAAAGTTTCTTTAAACCATGAGATGACTCCAAGTGTTTCTAAAAAAAAGAGTGTTTGTGCAGAAGCTGGGGAACCAAAGCTCTTTAAAAAATAATAATAAAAAATAAAAACAACAACAACTAACTATACACTACTCAAAACAACTTCCAGGTTCAAAAAATCAAAAGTAACGTTTGAAAAGTCAATCCAACACCACATGACAATCCAAATAAAAGGGGATCACTTGAGAAAATATGTTATATAATTTATGTAAATAAAGCATATAATTTTTGGCAACTAAGTCATAAAAATGAACCAAAATGTGCTAGCAAATAAATTGCTGAGGCATCATTTTATCTAAAATAATAAAATTTTACACACATCAGAATAAATGCTTCAAGACTGGCAGTTAATATTGTGCCTCAGTAGAAAATGCCATGAAGTATCTGATGCTGTTTTTTAAATGCATGCTAATCAGTCTATTCTATTCCCTTGGATTTAACTTGTGATTCTAGTTCTGTTGCCATTGATGCCAAACTCAGGTACAAATAGACCATGTTTCAGAGCAAATGGTACTTGAGAAGAACAAGTTAGATAAGCTTTTAAACATGCCGGCAGTATTTCCAGAGGATATGCCAATGCCAACCTACCCATACCCCCCTCCCCGCGCCTCTGACACTGCTGATAAAAAACGCGACTTTTGGGACAATTTCGCAATCTTTGTGCAAAATATGCCCCCAGACGTGTTCATGGCAGGGGGAATGCCAATGCAAAGTTGGCCTCCAGGCAGGGTCATCCGAGGAGGATCCATCCGAGGTGAAAGGTACTGAATTCAATCACAAGAAATGCCGTTGTGAGTCATACTTGTCAAAACTCATTTTCAATGCTTTTATGTTTGATCAAAATATTAATATTTTTTTATCCTTACATAGGCGATAAGTGGAAAATTAGCAGCGAAGCACGGACTGGTAACGTTCCGACATGATAGTGCTGCAGAAGAAGCTATATATATATATATATATATATATATATGAAGATCGATGATCATGAATGTGACCATATGTATAATACAATAATTGATGGATGACATTCTCGATCATACCTCATAAATCTGTTCTTTGTTCTCCTTTCCCGGCACCATCAACTCTAGCTCTACTAAACAACCATGCAATGAACTTTCGAAGGACAACAAAAAAAAAAAAAAACTACACGCAAGGACAATTGGATTCCATGGAGAATCCAAATGTGTCCTTGAGCAATCTTTAAGCTAAATGACATGCAATTCAAGGAATCAAACATCATCGCAAAATGCAATATTCATATTATTAACTACAATCATTTAACGTATAATGTACAATTTTCCCACTATCTTTAGTACAATGGAGTAATGTGACCAGACTAGTAAACAATTTTTTCAGAAAAGGAAAAGAAGACGGCGACAAGAAGCAAGAGAAACGCACATTGTTCTCGTAAATAATAATATATTTTCGTGATATGTACAACGGTAAATTGATTGAAATAACAAAAATATGGCTCTTGAGCTATTGAGTCAACTGATGTGAATGTTTAGAATGGGCTGACTCTACTAGCCAACTTCAACATGAATTCAGGTACAAGGCGTTTTCTTGGAGCTGCCACGGCATCTTTAGCGAGGGCTTCCGAGTCCCCCTCATGGATGATAGCAACTAAATCTTCAAATAATTCATCTTTACCACCTCTCATTGGGTCCTAAATAGAGCATATTGGCAAACATAACAATTAAAACAAAAATGAATAATTAAAGATAAAAAATACATATAGGAAGCACAATAAATCATTTCTTCCATAAAACGGAAAAGACAGATCAGTTGAAAGAAGTGTATCTAATTTGTTTCATCTGACAACTCAAGATGCTAATGCCCACGTGAAAAGTTAAAAATCAAAAGAAAAGTGTTCAACCGATTTAAAAAATTAACATGGCAAGTTCAAACATGCAAGAGAGAGAAAAATAATCAGGAGAAGGCAAGACTACTGAGAGGACAGCGCCCAGATGCAGAACCAGAAAACTAAAGCATTTCAAACAATTCCCAAATTTTTGCATTAATTTCAAAAAAATGTTTATTTAATATAGAACAGGACATGAGATAGATTCACAAATATATGTAATATCGGCAAGGAAACTATCTGGTGAAGAAGTTAATTAAATTGAAGGAGCCTCGGAAGAGATTGGAAAGAACCATCCCAAACAGCCCCTGTAACATGTATCCAAGCCACAACTACCATTTGCAGCCAAAAGGAATGGAAAGAAAGCATTTGAGTCAGTCAGTTACCTGAAGAAACACATCGGTGTGACTCTTCCCTTCATACAAAATAGATTCAGCTTTGACTCCAACTCTTTGAAGAGTGTCTGCAAAATTCTTACTGCATACAATAACATTTTACCTAAGTATCTGATAATTGCCAATAAAAATGCAGTGACTACCATATATATATATATATATATCAATCTATGCAACATACGTTCTGCTACTTACTAAATAATTAGAGAAGAAATAATTGTAAGAACATCGTCAATTGTCCTTTTATTGAATCAGGATGATGGCGTTATCATATGTTTACATTCTCTAGCACTAATCTACAACTTAAGAAAGCCAAAAATGGACCATCCCACATTAACTGGGAGGATAGAGGGATCTGATCCAATTGCTGTCAGCAGATCCATCCCCGTTTCTATCCCATGCCATTTGCCTTCAATAGGGTTGCAATATTAAGAGACACTGTTTTGGAACCACCTGCTATTGAAGCATGGACAAGAAGATGTTGTACGGATACGGCAATACGACAAATTCTTAAAAAGTAGGATGTGGATAGGACAAGGACACCGAACATCTAATGTAGATAAAACCAATGATTAGTGGGTCCAATCTGAAAAATCAGAACATCACAACATTAGTAGACTTTAGATATTGGATCATCTAACTTCATACCGAGTCCAATGTAGGTGTCGATTCAAATCTTTTAAAATTTATTTATGCGGTCAGACTCATAAAACTCAATATTTTATTTTATTTTTTCATTCTTATTTATGTGATCAGACTCCGTAAATATACATCATCTTTTTCTTTTCTGTTCTTTTTCTTTTTCTATTTTTAATATGACACACCCACCCATGTCTATAGGAGAACTTTTTTCTTTCTATTTTTTTCTTTTCCTAGTTGGTACTCACACACACCCTCTCTGAGGAATTGTTTGCACCCAAGAGGAGTCGAACGTTAGACCTAATGCTTCCTGAGGCACTAGGGCCAAATGACGTACTGTAACAAGAGTCATTTGTCCCACATCGGATCCGGATGGGAAATTGATTGGGTATAAATGGGTGGGTATATAGCACTACCTAACAACTTGAGTTTTTGGATAAATGGGCAAGCACCCATCCGTTACAGTTGGTATCAGAACCAGACCCAATCCTTGATCCAATATAACGCCAAGCACCCAGCCCGGAAGGCGTCTGGGTGAACACCCCAGGTAGGCTGGGTGGCCCGAGCCGCAATGAGGGCGTTGGGAGTTTGGGTGGGGGAGAATGTAACAACTAACAAGAGTCATTTGTCTCACATCGAATCTAGATGGGAAAGTGATTGGATATAAATAGGTGGGTATGCATTACTACCCAACAGCTTGAGCTTTTGGGTAAATAGACAAGCGCCCAACCATTCTCACTTGAGCCAACCCCTTGGGGTAGTCTATAGGAGAACTTCTGCCCTGCACCTTAGGCCTCGTTTGTTTGGCCGTAAAATGTTTTCATTGTAAAATATTTTCTAAACAAAACATTTTACATGAAAATGTTTTCTTTTATTTTTTAGTTTCCGGTGTTCGGTAATGGTCCATAAAATATTTTCTAGATCAGCTCTTGTGCATAATTAACTTACTTCTTCAGTGTTCCTCACCAACAGGGAATAGTACCCACAATTAACTCTCTCTTTCTTCAGTGTTCCTCACCAATAGAGAATAGTACCCCCTAAACCATCCCCCTCTCTCCTCGTTACTTTCTCTCTCGCTCTATGCTAAACTATCCCTCCCTCTCCTTCTCGTTACTTTCTCTCTCCACTCTCTCTAGAACATGCTCTTGACCCAAATCTGTTACTTGACCAACCCAAATTTGTGTCCATCTTTCTCTCTCCTCTCAATGTATGTATACATATAGAGAGAGAAGACTGAAGATTAGATTTTTAGATTGAGAGGACTGAAAAAGATTAGTTGTTAAAGGGACATAGGGATTCAATAAGAATACGGATGATTAGATGACCTAAGGTAGCATGTGGAAAATGACTTGCGGAAATTTTTTTGGTAAATCATTTTAATTCATTTGGGGGTAAAATGATTTACATGAAAAATAATTTCCTAACCTGGGAGTCTTCCAAACACAGGAAAATGAGGAAAATGAACTTCGAAAAATATTTTACGGTTAAACAAACGGAGCCTTAGTGACAGGAGAAACCACTTAAGCCATTTAGCTTCTTTGATAGTCTGAAATCCACTTTAGTGCTATTATTTTAAACAAAGTAAACATGTTTAATTTATAAGAAAGTTACAAATCATTTTAGCTGCAGGAGATAAATGGTTATACGCCGCTCTTGATGTCTTGTTTGGTAAACGGGTGTAAAATTGATGACTTTACCATTACTTCAGGAGAAAACCATTGCAAAGATTGTTCAAATTTGAAAATAGTCATATGTAATCACTAGAGTTCATCTGAGAGGAGATTCGGACCTGGAATCTGATGGAATGGAATAATCTCCAGTCCCATGGAAAAGAACAATAGGAGGTAAAAGAGAAACTGCATTTCTAATGTTTGGGTCCTGTACCATTACTTCAGGAGAAAATCGTTGCAAAGATTGTTCACCTTCCATTATGCTGCAAAGGAATTAAGAATCATCACTATCTAGGATATAAGGCATATGCAGCGTTAGACAAGGTAATGCATGTATCCAGTATAACACTAGAGAAATGAAGAAGAATTATACCTTAAGAAGACTGATCGGTACAAACCTCGACTATGGAAGTGATCAACTAGGTTCAACAAATTGTACCTGTTCAAAATGATGAAGAGGAAATTGTAGAAGTTACACTATCTTGTTCATTAAAACAAGAAAAAAGTACAAACAAAAACTTATTTTCTAAGCATGACAGCTTTAGAATTCTCATTCATTGAACTGTAGTTGATGCAGAAAGCCCCAAATCTAGGCTCAAGCAAAGACAATGTTAGTCTAGTTGACACAGTTTAGCATCCCAATGTCAGAGTTAAAGTGCTGCAGTTACATTGTCAAATGATTTCAACCCAAGAAGAATAAGTAGGTTGCAAGTTCTAGAAGTGCTTATATCATATAACCTTCATTCCAACTATACCATGCTAGACCCACTATTCAATAAATTAAAATTGGGAGATCTTTTAAGCCATTGATCATCGAATATCTTTCTCATGTTCTCATCTGGTTGGCCACATCCACCAGCTCACATGACTTAAACGAACATATAAATATAAGCATTTATCTCATCATTAGAACGATCTAATTAAGTTGATTTTAGACATAAAAGAAATTAGGTAAAAAGATTTGTAACTTTTTGAATTAAGTCTAAGTTGTACTTACCCTCCAGATAAACCAAAATAAGTCTTTATCTGGGAAACACTCCAAGAAGTGCTCTCTCCTTCACCCAACTCCTTGATTGCCTGCTCCAAGAGTGTACAAGCGGCAATATGAGCACCAGCTGACTGTCCCATTAAATAAATCCTATCAAAAGTATTAACATTTAAGACAGCATTCTGAGCAAGAATGAATTCCCAACCAATACATTTTAAGAAAAACAATAAAGAATTTTACAAATCAGTACCTGCTAGGATCACCTCCATATTCAGCAATATTATTGCACACAAATGAGATGCCTTGAGACGAATCCTTTACCATATCACTAATCGTAGCCTGAGGATAATTTCTGCATGCCAAAATTAACCATGAGAGCAGGTTAGAGGTGATGAAGTTACACATTAAGCATGCACATTCACTCAGATATTGCTCAACTAGAGGTATGATGATGGAAATTTTGAGAAGACACTCATGGAATTATGTTTGAATGAGTAAACCAGAAAATTCTACATGTCATTCTCTAAGGAATGTTTAATATTTTTTTCATTTCCTAACTTCTAGAACATAAACCAACCAAACACTTCTCTTCCAGAGCCATATATTCAACTACATAGCTTTCCTATGCCAAGAATTAAGAGAAGAAACAAGAGATGATTCACCCGCTTTAACTTGAGGGCTTTGACATCCCATCAAAATTGAACTTATAGCAATTTTGACACCCAAGTTGGTACTGTAAAATTCAGAACAAAAGAAAATTTCCACAAAAAACTTTTTCCTTCCAAATGTGTTAGTGCGACTTGGGTATCCATCCAGATCATATTTCTCAAACTTCTATTGTTAACTAGCAATTTTTCCTTTTTTGGAGTAGAATCAAGATTGTTGATTTTATCTAAATATGGATAAGAAATTTTCTTCATAATTCTAGCATTTGGTACTCTTGATTGACATCACATTTCTAGATGTGATGAGGGTGAAAGCACATATAAAACAAAAAAGAACAGGTTTTATTCATAATTTAGCTAAGTTTTGCCCCTGCTTTTCCTGAAGAACCCCCAAATTTTAGCATCTCAAGATTCAGCCTTCAGTGGATATTGTTATCAGAATTTCACAGGATACAGAGAAGATAATTTCACCCGCATCCATGTGTGGTTGAATTTAAAATCAAATAGTTAATTTTTATTATGGATATCATTTGGAGACGGATTCGTATAAGAACTCTACTAAATCCATCAGAATACTTCACCTACAACAGGTTACCTTACATATTAGTGTCTATTATGTCTGTAGCATGTTAAGTTTGAAGTAAAGTCGTATCACCTGTAATCTATGCATGCCACTATGATATCTCTTTCTGATAACTGTTGTCCTAAAAGAGAACCCCACGCTTTATAACTGCATCAACAAAAGGCTCCTCAGAACATGTTAGGGACAAATAAGCATTTAAACATGGGGCAAAATAAAGTTAACAAGTGAAGGTAAAATACTGATAAGATCTTGCAAGACAACCCTTGATCCATGCATAAGGAGAAAAAAAATTCTTTCTTCTAGAACAAATAATATGTATGTGTTTCTTATGGAAAAGCTTCAATTTTTCATGTGAAGTACTGTTTCATTTAGAGTACTTTTCCATATTCCTTTCTTTTTTCTTGTTCTTTTTCTCTCTCTTTTCTTTTTTTTCCCCTTCTCTGGGTGTCTTTCAGCAGGTAAAGTGCATTTCAATATTCAATTACCAATACACAGCTTATAATTACAATAAAAGGTACATTTTTTCACTTAATAAGTTACAAACCTACAACAACAAACTAGTCTAATTTTGGAGCTTAAGTCTTCAAACAGCTGGTTCAGACACAGCATAATATAAGAAAGCAGCTAGATTCTTACCCCAAAAAATAAACAAATAAAATAAAATAAAAACAGCTAAATTACTCACCCAATAATCCAAGCTCCACCGGTAACAAATGCAACAACTGGCTTTGGGCCATCACTATTTTTAGGTAAATACAGATCGAGCCTGAAACATTTTCATCATTTATTCATCCATAATATCCATGAATTTTAAACAGGCACACAAACTTATTGAATCCAAATGCAGTGAAATCAACCAAGTCAATAGAAGATACCTATTTCTCGGATGATCACCGTAAACTATGCCTCTACGGACCTGACTTGAGAAGAAATAGTAATACGCAACTGCATAAGCAAGCAAACTTTGTTATTCTCCAACTGAACAGCTGGCAGCCCCAGGTTTACTACATGACTTCTAGAAAATTTTATGCGAACATCTCAGGCATATTCATAAGAATATTATTATGAAGCAAATTGCACAACTAGAAATCAACCAGAACACAAACTTTAATAAGATATTAAATAGTTCTTTACATGCAATAAAGCTTGGGTAAGCATGCCAAAAATATATAAGCTACCAAGGGTAGATGCGATTGAAGGCCAGGAAATGGTTATAAAGAGGGGAACAACAATCAAACAGTTAAAAAAAAAAAAAAAAGGAAAGATCACATGAAATCGAATTGTAGACTTTCACAAGCCAAGGCAAGTGCACCAATATGTTCGGAGAAGACCTTTGAGCTACCAGAAGAATAGAGAGGAAGAAGAAAGAGAAAGAGGAGAATTGGAAAGCTAGAGAGGAAAAAGGATGGAGAGAGAGAGAGAGAGAGAGGCTAGAACTTAAAACCTCACTGTCCAAGCCATTGGCCTCACACTTATGTGACTTATCACATCAAACAATCTTATGTGACAAGTAATTCGAAGTAACAGTGTCAAGTGTCATGAATGTGAAGTGATAACTTGACTTGAAAGTTAAGACTTAAATCTACGGGGATAACCCCTAAATCATAGGATATAAATAAAAGAACATTACATACGAGTAAAGAAAATTAATGAACCTAAAAGATATAATTAAACACAAAATAGAAAAACCACATACATCCTACTCCCTCTGTCATCAACAGCTCTCCATGAATCTACAAATATGACCTCACAATATCTACAAATTACAACACTCGAAAGTAAAATCCAAGTGATGATGGAATAAGATACAAGTAATAAGATTTTGATGCATGAGAAACATTTTGAGAAGTAGATCACTGAATGTTGCAAACCTTGAAGAAAGCCCGGGAAAATTAGGAAAGAATAACAGCCAAGGGCAAGAAATCTCATAATCCATCTGTAGCCTATCCTGAATAAAAATAAATGATCAGAAAGCATATAGAAGTTAACATAGTTTTAGGAAGCATCTCATACAACTACTACTACATACATGAATAACATTCAATTTCATGCATATATATGCAAGAAATGAAAGTATGCATACTGGATTCTTTTAAGCATGTTGATAGATTCTTAATTATTTTTGTTCAAAATTTTTAGATTTCACAAATATTAAAGCATTCAACTAACAAACAAAAAAGCAATCATTATTGTGCATTTTGCAACATCCCAACCATATCTCTCTCTCACTTTCTATCTCATGCACACAGAGACCCCTTAGCCTAAATCCAATTATCCAAGTTATTCCCTGTTATAGTGTATCACCTCCAGGATCAAACATCCCTAGTCTTATAAAAAGTGGGAAAAAAGAAAAAATCAAACATCCCTAGTGAACTGCTACTTGTATAACTTTCCTCTAATTCGATAAGTACTTGACAATCACATAACATTCTGATCCACGCATCCACTTTCGTCCATCCTGCTTTATACAAATTAGCAACATCCTCCTTAATCTCCCTACGACCATAAAGGGATCAATAGAAGATAATGAGAACAACCCATTCCGGGTTTGTTTTGGTCATTAGTTATCATTACAACCTTGACCTCTACTAGAAAAACAATAAATCTTGAAGATGAATTAGTTCATACTAGTATCTAAAGATTTTCAAGCATCTTTCTGTAGTGCTAAACTCTACTTAGATTTTTACACTCTCTAATTTCATCAACTTGAACCATATCATTAACCAACAAAACAGGTCAAAAACTAAATCCAAATTATATTCAGTTTTTGAATTCCTGACGACAATAAAACAGACATTGATTCACTGACAACCATGACGAAAGTAAATTGCTCTCCTCCAATTATATTCAAGAGAGGATTTTGCACCATCAATCATGTCCTTGATAAATGAATATTTGTTCACATGTTGATACCCCTTTGTCGTATAAAAACACAATGATGTAAATCTTAGATTAACAGCTCCCATATTACAAATTATTTGAGAATTATATTACATTGGTTGCAGCTCACTTTAACTATAGTTCTTTTGCAACATTTTGATTTTAGTAGAGTACACCCAAAAATTCAAAGCAGATGCAAAACAGAGGACATTAACACCCCACCAAAAGAAGGCCATTCGAAGCTTGGTTGCTGGGGTAAGTGCACCATTTATTAACCTAACCTCCAATTATTTATAAGAAGCGTATGCACACAGGTTCATAGTTGCATTCTCATGCTTCATAGCATAGCTTTAATTATTGCACCAACAAATGCCCTTTACCCTATTTTAATGCTAAAATAGTGAATTGTGATTACTCCATTTGTAATGTTATAAAAGCACTAAATGTAGAAACTTTCAAATTCAAGCCATACAGTCAATTTGCCTCACCAAGCATAAGCAGAAGCTGCAGAACCATCACTTAAAATAAAAATAAAATAAAATAAACTATGCAATACATAAACGAAACAAAGATTCCATTTTTTTTCATAGTTCACACTAATAAAACTCAACTAGCTCAACTACTCTGAATAAGCATAGAAAATTAACATAACGAAACAGAGACAGACGTGAAAATTGTACCCAAGATATCGCAAGAGCTTTAAGGTAAGGCGAGTGATCAGATACGCGTCCCCATCTTGCCGGAATGATTTGCTGCAGTCATCGGACATAATAGAGATAGAGGTTTCGCTGTTGGTCCTACGCCGCCGTTTCTGCTGGTAATTGGAATTGGTGGTGGGGGTGGTGGTGGTACTGTTGAAACTTGAAGCCCTAGAAAGAAGGGGTTTGACTTCAATGGTCTTCTTCTCATCTTCGAACTGCGGAGAAATGAGAAGACGTGTGGTGGGTAAATCTTCCTCCGCCGATCTCAGTAACATTGTCCCCGCGGCTGCTGCTGACATCGGGTACATCGTTGAAGAGGATGACGCCCTCAACGATTCTGTTATGGAGGGGTCCGAAATTGGCAGGATCTGAGATACCATCTAGTGAGAGAAAGTGTGCTCTATATAGAGAGAGAGTTGCGTTAGAATGTTAGATCGATCAATTCGTTGCTTTCTCTGATTGTTGAGAATGGTGAAAAATGGCAGGGGAGAGACAGAGGTGGGGTTGCTGAACAGGTAGATATTTGTGGACCAGACCGGTTGGTGCCACGCGTCGAATTGTAATAAGGTTTGCTTTCTTTCTGGAGTCCGTTCGTTGTTATTGGTTGTTCGTTATTTGTCGTTTTTATTCTGCTTTGCTAATGGCGCTCCGAAAACCACCTATGGCGCTCCACACTTCATTTTGATATCTTGAAACATTTTTGCCATCGTTTTTCGTTTTTTATTTTGAGATGGTGGATTGGTTGATGGTCTAAATTAAGGGTGCACACGATTCGGTTTGGATCGATTTAAAAATTTTTTGGAACCAAATCAATTCTAATATATTCATAAAATTTAGAATCAAATCGAATCATTTGACCAAAGAAACCAAACCAAATCAAATCGTGAAAAATCGGTTTGGTTCAGTTCGATTCCACGATTTTTTTTTTTTTTCTTTATTGTTACAGAAGTATTCATAGTATCCACGTGCACAACAATAAATCAAGTTACCAACACAGAACTATTAATATATTTAAAACTTTTAATTCATTTTTCTCTCTTAGTTCTGGAAGTGAAATAAATTAATTCAGAATTGATAATAATCAAATATGTACATTTAGAATTACTAATTCAACACTAAACAATCAGTAACAATTCAATTCAGCCACTAAAAAAAATTTATCTAATAAATTGATAAGACCTAAGATAATTAAGAGTGAATCATATGATTGATAATTGCTACAAATTTTTAAGTGATTTGGATTATACAATTATATTATATTATATATACTCTACAATTTAACATATACATATATATATATATATATATATATTATAATGGTTTGGTTCTGTCTAGTTCGGTCTTAAAGGATTTCAAATCGTATATTTACTGTTTCACAAATTTAAAATCGTGACCGAACTAAACCATTAGCAACCCAAACCAAACCAAACAAAACTATCCGGTCCGATTTGATCTGGTTTAAATTTTCGATTAGATCGAATTTTTGTACACCCCTAGTTTAAATCCTTTGTTCAAATAAACTTGCTTTGAATTCTAAAATTGATCGAGTGATAATATATTCAAAACGAAATAATGAATTTTTGTTTTTATCCTGAAAATTTTGAATTAAAGTGGTCACCATTCAAACTTTTCAGCAGTAAAGTCTATCATCTTTGATTGAAAATAAAATGTTTCTCGTTGTTCTCTATTCGAACCATAAATTTAATATCCATCTAACGAAAGTCATCTTCAAGCTTGGAAGAGGCCAATCTTGTTACGTCAAATTTGATATGAAAAATGATTCAGGGTCTGACAATTAGACATATTCGAGACGATTTTGTGCGACTTTACTTCTCTAATATCAGCACTCATTTGACATAGATTCCATCACTAGCCCCGAAGACTTTTTCTATAAAAAAAATTTGTCAGAGGTGCAGAAGGATTGTTATTGTCGATGATTTATTTTATTACAGGATGCATGCGTGTGTTTTTAACTTTTTACAAAAAATTCATTGATTCAATTATAGGAAATTATAGAATTTCGGTTATGTTTGTTTAGACGTAAAATATTTTTTAAAAAATATTTTTTTATTTTTTAATATTTAATTATCATAAAATTTTTATAAAAAATATATATATATATATATTAAAAAAATTTTAAAAATAATTTATCCATTAATTTTCGATAAGTTATTTTACATGTCTCGTTCGATGGACTGGACTTCAATTTCGACGTAGACTTTTATCAAATATCGACAAAATAAAAATTAAAAATATATATATATTTTATTAAAAAATATATAATTTTTAAAAAAAATTTTTACGTCAGAACAAACGGAGCCTTTATTACATGTAATCCAAATATTGCACATGTAATGTCAGATTTAGCAAGCGTGGGCATCTTTGACAACACGAAACTTATTATTATAAGGCATCACTTCCCATGAACCTCTTATTAATCTAACTATGAAATATATATGGTATTTGAGGTAATTTGACCATTTCAAGTTAAGAAAATAAAGTTAAAAAAAAAAAAAAAAATAGGTGAAGCTCCCGATGATAAAAATTCGAAGCCCAAATAGCACTTCACTTTTTTACTACTCTTTTTCTTTTCCTTCTTCTTCTTTTATTTTATTTTTCTTTCTTGTCCTTTCTTACTTTTTTCATTTTCAATTTTTTTTTTTTCTTTGGGTCACAGACCCCTTGTAATTTGTCATTTCAAGAGGCGCCTATTTTTAAAAAATGAGGCCGCATATCAGAAGGAGTAGTTATGTTTATACAGAATATTTTCAGTGAATATTTTCAGTGTTATGTTTATACAGAATATTTTCAGTGAATATTTTCAATGAATTCACTATAAATATTCTGTATAAGCATAACTACTCCTTCTGATATGCAGCCTTATTTTTAAAAAATAGGCGCCTGTTGGTATGACAAATTACAAGGGGTGTGACCCAAAGAAAAGAAAAAATTTGAAAAAGAAAAAAAGTTAGAAAGGACAAGAAAGAAAAAAAAAATAGGCGCCTGTTGATATGACAAATTATAAGGGGTCTGTGACCCAAAGAAAAAAAAAATTTGAAAAAGAAAAAAGTTAGAAAGGACAAGAAAGAAAAATAAAATAAAAAAAGAAGAAGAAAAAGAAAAAGAGTAGTAAAATGTGAAGTGCTATTTGGGTTTCAAATTTTTATCATCGGAATTCACTGAAAGTGGTCCTTATAAATATCACTACTAATAAAAAATTATGAAATTGAATTCAAACAATCTTTAAAAAGATATAAAAAGTCTAATTTGCCCCGTACAAATAACTGTTGGCGCCAGATCTCATTCTTCACCTATACTACGTATTATTTGTTGTGTTTAGTATGCTCCCAAAACAAAAACTCTCCAGTTACCAATTTTATTTATTTATTTATTTATTTAATATCTTCAGTTGTATCTAACATTGTATCTAACATGCATGGCACCCCTATAGGCCTGTGGGCACATGGCCTCCCAAAATTGGCCCAACCCAAAATTCAGACAGACCCTACAGTTTCCTTCTAGCATGTGGGCCATGTGGCTTTAGTTAACGAAAAATTATTACATGTTCGTTCAATTTTTGTTTTTTGTGTTTTTTTAAAATCGTGTTCAAGTGTTTTTTTTTTTTTTTGTTACAACTAACGTAATCTGTTCAAGTTTTTATTATTTTATTATTATTATTTTTTTGGGGGGGTTATAATTAGTGTCCATTAATAGGGATCAATATGTGGGTATCACTTTTTTTATTATTTTATTATAATCTTAATAAAAATGACTTAAAGAAAGGGTTGTGAGAGTTATTTTGGTCTATTAAAATGACTTAGAATGGTTAAGAAAGTAATTTTATTATTTAAATAGGTCAATTAACAAGTCAAAGGTTAATAATGTCAATTCAGTATGTATTAGATATGGTTGGGAGTCCTTTTTCTTTTTTTCCTTTTTTTTTTTTTTTTTTCTTCTTGAAGAATTGAAAATACATTTTTAGTGGTAGCAGTTTTTATAACAAAAACAAGCCTAAGCTTACCACGGGGTATAAAGTCTCCATTCTGGTTTAAACTAGGTGGCAATGTAAAATGATTATAGAGTTCGATTTTTTGTGTTTTTTTTTTTGCCCTGACTAAAAAGGAAACGAAACTAAGAACAACAAGAAATTACACTCAATGGCTACAGTCAACCAAGATGGCCAGATGCTCCATTCTAGATCAGTGAATTTGACCTTAAGAGCACATTTGTTGACAAGGTGAGTCACTTGGTTGCACCGTCTCCGAATCCAAAAAAAGGGAATAATTCAAGCCAGTCACGACAAAACATTTTATATATGTAGGGGGTTCTTTATTATAATGATTACTACAAATAGTAGAGGGTGATATCTAAATACAAAATATGACAGAATCTGGATAAGAGCTTTGACAGGAAGGAGAAGAAGAAGACTAGCCAGTGAGATTTGTGATGAAGTAGGAGAGTCTTTTGCCTTATGTATGTGTGTTTTTCATTTGTTCAGTCATGCCTTCGTGTATGCATGAAGGCTTTTATTTATAGTCTCAACTATTCGCCTAGCTCTCGAGGATCAGGCCCAAAGTTCGCACCCACCTTGCTAGTGTTGGGATTTATATGCCCTGGCATAGCAAATTCCTATCTGGATTGTAGTGACATATGTTCCTGACATATCTGAAATATTTATGATTTATATAATTGGTGAATTCAATGTATTATGTTTCGATTCACTATGAAATTGATAGTGTCCATGTAATTACAAGAAATATTTATATATATGTATGTGATGACAATCAATGCATGATATATAAATAGTAATTATAAATTGTTCATAGTCGGTAATTATGGATGGACTCATAATTAATTAAGACTTGAACTGGATCCGCGTTAGGTTGAGATATATTGCGAGAGCCGTCGTATGCAATTACTCCCTATCACCGTCATGGCATTTGACTCTTAAGCATGAGAAAAGTATAGACTCTTTTATTAATTAATAATCAGGGACGGACCCAGCAGGTGACTAGGGGGGGCATCTGCCCCCCCTGAATTTTTAATATTTTCATTTTATACCTTAATGTTTTTAAAATTTATGAAAATGCCCCCCTAAAATTACAATTTGCCCCCACTGGATTCTTTTTTTTTTAGCATTTTATACTTCAAATTTTGATAATTTATGAAGATGCCCCACTATAATTATAATTTGCCCCACTGAATTTTTTTTTTTTCATTTTATACTTAAATTTTTTAAAAATTTATGAAAAAAAACCCTATTAAAATTACAAAAATGAACCCATCATATAATTTTGTACCCACAAATTAAAAATTCGCCCCCCCTCACCAAATTTTCTGGGTCCGTCACTGTTAATAATTACTTTGATTTGTTCGGCGGATTCTTCGGGATCCTTAGACCGACACTTTGGGTAGTTATGTAATTAATAGTTAGAGGGTTATATTTTCAATATTTGCATCATTGCTACTTGTATTTATTTTGTATTGATTATGGTT